ACTTTTTGCGTTGATACCTTATGACCTTATGTTACCTTATGTTAATTCCATGGAGAAATTCCAAATGCGTCAGAATGAGTATTGATCAGGTTCATTTGGATGATCAGATTAAAAATAATCATTTTCGGAATGGTTAAACTGCTTGGCATCGATTTCTCACCGCTCTCCGAGCCATGGGATAAGAAACTTCAAACGCTTGGTGTCTTCATAGTGTACACAATGATATTCCCGATGATTGCAGTGGGCCTCTTTTTACCATTCATTCTGGTAGTTTTTTGTTTATCTACTATTTTTTCGCTTATTTGTTTGTTACCGCGTTCTTTGACGCGCCAACATATGTTTTCCATTTTCCATCATTCCAGTTCACTACTTAAAGACACATTACATGATTATGTTAGGTGAAGCATTCCCTTAATGGAATCGTCCACGGAAACATCATAATTTTATCTCTCCCATGAATCTTGAACTTGAGAGCCATTTTCCATGGCCAGAAGAAAAGGAACGGGAACATAGCTCTTGTTTCGTAACATTCTAAAACAAACTGAGAAAAATATTCTCACTCGAATTCCCGCCGTACATCTGTCATAAATGTTGCTAATAGCTGATAAGCGATGGTTGTAATTAAGAGACAGTTAATAGAATACAACCGCGAATCGGCTGAATTTCGTTGAGAGAAATTTATTACATTTTGTGGATAGGTCTTCGATTGTGTTGTGAAATTCGCCACCCACTTGCCGGAACAAAGAGTACATCGTTCCAAGCGCCCCCTTGGCTACGCCCATATATCCATCTGGGTCAAAAAGTTTCGGAGGTTCGCTTCTCATCGGAAACAGGACTCGCATAACATCCGTGCTCTCCCACCCTTCCGCTCACTGCGGCACCCAATGAATACTCATCGTGGACTCACTCAAGCCCAAGATACGAAGAACCTTAGTCCAGTGTTTTCCAACAGCTTCGTTTGCTTGTTTCTTCATGACGGTCCAATGCAACTCTCCCTTCATTTTCAAGCGGAGCAACATCTCTTTTGATCATAGGATGTGCCTCTGATAGAACCATATGGTTTTTGAATTTGTATGTCAGAGTTTTCAGTTTCCTACTTTCACGTTGGGCATTTTCAGTTCTTCACTCTTCAATGGCACATTCTTTTCATATATATTTTATGGTTTCTCTATGACCGAAAATCACCACAGAGCGGCGGATATAAAAATCACTGGCTGAGAGGGTTCGTTCGTTTTCGGTTATGAAGAAAATGTAGATTTGTAGGTACATGCTTTAGATGGAAGTACAACGAATGGTACGTCAACTACTTCCCATCATCCGTTCATAAAACCACTGATCTGCCGGCAGATCGGGTGAGTTCTACTGGAATTAGTCTCCATCTATGAGATCGAACTGGTGTTTATTTTGCTTAAAAATTAGACAAGAATTAGGAGAAGGGACACTAGGAGGTGAAAAAAAGCAAAAAGCACCTCTAGAAAACACTAGAAGTTCCTTTGTGAAGTTGACCATGGTACAATGGAGAGACACAGCACTGCGAGGAGAGGAAGAACGCGAGAGAGCGCAGCGTACGGAGAGAGTGCAGACGCCACGGATGCCGCGATTGAAGAATAGCAGCGGTCGCGCGGTCAATAGAAGGCATTAGATCCATTAGCTTATCGCGCATATTCAGGTCACGACAGTATCGCCGCCCCGGTGATTAAGGGTTCATGCTCCATCGCGCAAGGATAGAAGTTTTCTAAGGACCTAATTGCGAGTTGTGAAAGAAGAGTAGACCCGTGGTAACGGTGCACTTCTGATCAGTGGTCGGCCATTTGCCGGTTATCTTGTTGTTTGCTCTGAGCTATGGCAAACTCCTTTGAGAAGAGAAGGGGAAGGTGCGGGGTATATAGTAACGTGTGGTAATACTACCAAGACCATCAGATACGAATATCCACTCACTGTTTATTAGCAAGGAATATGCGTCATGAATATCAGATCTCTTCTGGTATCGGATGGTTCAGCAAAAGCATGAAGGTTGAGTACAGCAGACGTGCGGGTCCGAACGGTCGGCGTCCAGGCGGCGGCTACAATACCCATCGTCCTCGCTCCGTCGCG